TCTAAAGTAAGAATCATTCCAAACACTCCCTTATGGTCCTTCCCCCACCATCATAGCTGTCTTTTCAGATGAGTACTCCTCCTAGGAAACAAATAATATGCCATCGTTGAGGCCACATCAATCTAGGTCCGTGCATCTTCAGCCATTGATTGAGTCACAGGACCTTCTTCGGGTCAAGTTTTAAATTAGATTAGTTCAAGATTTAACCTGATGGGTCAACCCATTGCTCGATGATCAAAAAACCAAGTGAAAATCGATCCGTTTTTATAACTAAGATGATCTGAATTAACTCGTAGATAATAATTAAACTTGAATTATAGCTATATTATTTTAATATATCTATAAGTAAAAAATATATTTTAAAAAATCATCATTTTCAAATGCCTTCCTTTTTAAAATAATAATTTGAGTTGATAATAATGATCTGGATTGATAAATCATATGGTTTAGATGAATCATTTAAAAACCCAACTAAATCAATTTGGTTTTATTTAGTTTAAATTAGGTTTTGGGTATTAAATTTCTCGGTGGACTAGGTTGAGTAAATTTGGATTTTAAATTTTTAATCTTATCGTCATCAATCTGTGTTATAAATCAAGTATAAGATCTGCGATGAGTTAAGAAGTTGGGAATTTATAATCGTATAATTAATACAACATTCAGCCACCACCAGCTAAGCCAAACCTAAAAAAGGATAGTACTCCCTCCAAAGCTCCAACAATCAATTTATCACTGCAGGGAAAATAATGGACATAGGGACTGACCATGCAGAAATAGATCTGCAGGAACGAGTATCCAAAAACGAACTCACTTCCACAGGTGTCAGCCATACCTGGCGTGAAGTGGAGGAGTCGCACGCAGGCATTACAGAGTATGGGCTTCTTCTTGTCCCTTTCCATTCCTCCATTAATGAAATGAAACTTGTGATCCCGAAGCTCAGGGGAGGTGGTGGGACCCTGACACACCGTCCATAGCCGTTTTAGCATGGGCTGCTCCCTCACCTCCACACACCATTTCCTGTGAGTCGAAAACCTTCAGCACCTAACCCCAACACTTCACCGAGACACTGCACCAAACCCTACCCTCTAAAGTAAGAATCATTCCAAACACTCCCTTATGGTCCTTTCCCAACCATCATAGCTGTCTTTTCAGATGAGTACTCCTCCTAGGAAACAAATAATATGCCATCGTTGAGGCCACATCAATCTAGTTCTGTGCATCTTCAGCCATTGATTGAGTCACAGGACCTTCTTCGGGTCAAGTTTTAAATTAGATTAGTTCAAGATTTAACCTGATGGGTCAACTCATTACTCAAAGATCAAAAACCCAAGTGAAAATCGATCCATTTTTATAACCAAGATGATCTGAATTAACTAGTAGATAATAATTAAACTTGATTTATAGTTCATGTTTTATATTTAAGATTTGACTTGGTGAATCGATGAAAACCTGGATAAAAATTAATTTATATTTTATAACTAAGATGTTGTGAATTAACTATATAAGGTTGGTTTTGAGCATGGTTTCCAATTATTTCATGCATTATTTATGCAGTAATCCACCGATAATTAAATGGCTGAAAAATGTAGGTGGCTGCATTAAAGCCAATGGTAAATATTGTCGTTAACTAGGATTATGATCAGTGGCATTAAATAGAGTAGCCATTTTTGATGAAAGGAGACCGGTTTCTATGTTCTGTAGAGGGCCTAGCTAGCTCCACTTCATGGTGGTTGGGATTTTAAATCGTAGTGTACCTTAAGTCCAAGCATCCTATCTCCAAGGGCACCATATTATCTACCGACATATAGCATAAATTAAATCATATATATATATATATAACATCTATTAATTATCAAGACATAACAAGATATTGAACCTATGATGTTTTTCTTAGTTATTAATCTAAGATAATAAGTAGATTAATCTTCAAAAATGTTTGAAAAGTCTATTGCTTGAGAGGGTAAAACAACCTTAAATCCCATGTTGGTTTTGTTAGAAGATGATATACTGTAGGTATTTGATTGTGAGATATATTGACAGGGGGCCGCAGTCATGGAAATTTCTTAGGGCCAAGATTGAAAAAATTAAAATTTATTAATTTTAGTTATAAAATTTAAAATAGTTTTTTCTATAATATTAATGTTTTTTTTATAGAGACCAATCTCAATTTAAAGACTAAATTACATGAAATATATATATATATATATGGTCCAACATTTCAATTTTGCATTAAAAATTTCAAACCCGAGATGCGATAAAGGTGAAGATGTAACCGATCTTACAACATTCCCTACAATGGAAAAAATAAACCAGCACCGAAAATAAAAATTAATTAATTAATGGTTGGTGCATACATTATGCTTGTTTTTGACATTGTAGGAAACATTACAATAGTCATGATATAATGTAAGCTCTCCAATTAATTTATGCTTCTAATAAAATTTAGGTTAATTAATGGTTGGTGCATGAATTTATGAAGAAGTCATAATGTATGCTCTCCCTAATTTATTGTCTCTACTTACTCAAGACCCTAAAATCAATTGCATTATTTGAGCTCTATTTATGTCTACAAACCCAAAAAGACTAAAACTTTCCCTTTTAAGCTTTCAACCTTGCAAAAAGAAAATTGCTTCTTCAACTGGGATTTTTTTTTATAGTGCTTGAACTGTAATTATTAAACATTAATATTTATTAATATAGAATAAAAATAAACAAAATAATAAGAAAAAATAACATTCAAACCCATAAGAATTAGAAAGAATTCTCGAGAAACTTTACGATATTCAGTGAATAAACTAGTAACATCCTATTAATTAGTTTAATTAACCCATTTTAAAGAAAAAATAAATTCATGGAAAAGAGATATCTATATAAATATATTCTTATTATTTTTTGTGGTTCATGGGCTTTTTTTTGTGTTTTTTTATTTTAAGATGGTCTAAAAAATAACTAATATGATGCCATTAATTACTCCCTAGTGTTATAATTTTTTTTCAAAACTCTCACCTATTTTAAAATTATTTTTAATTCTCTCATGTATTTTTCTTTTTTCATTGTTTTTCTCTCATATACTATAAATATCTAATAATTACACTACAAAGAACTTAAAAAAAAAACAGTTGACGAGAAATTCACTGAAAAAAAAATCATTATTAGCAATACGAAATTCAAAATGGAAATCTAGGATAAAAAATTGTAAACTCGAGATCTATAACAAGAAAGAAAATAAGTAATATAAGTTTGAAGAAACCTATTTAATGTTAATTACAACTATTTAAGTTTATTATTTTATTTTTTTGGTAGCTAAGAAATAGAGTTTGAAGGAATCATTCATCGCCATGGGACAAGCATCTTCAGACATGCACAAAAAGCCAAAAAAATATCTGATGATAAGATTAGACCACTTTAGCTTAGCCTAAAAATTCTCACCTTCCCTGCATGCATATTTGCCACGTATTCATTATTCACTATGCCACCTAAGCATTATATATATATATATATATATATATATATATATATCTGTGTGTGTGTGTGTTGCTATAAAATATAGAAGAATTCATGAACCCTATAAAACCCTTCAAGATTTAGCTCTAGCTTGAATGGTAATAAATGGCAAATGAATTTTTTTTTAACTTTCACTTAATTTTGATATAAATTAAGAACTTAATTATCCAAGAAAAAAAGAAGAGTATTAAAATAAAGTTGAGGAGAGTGAAAATGAATTAAGAAATAATTAACAAAAGATAGCCATTCCAATTGAACATTTAATTAAATTTCAATACATATATATTCATCAAACATTAATGAACACTTCTTGAAAATTAAGAACTCGAAGATTCAAGAACTTGAAGAACATAAGTACTTCCGCAAAATACAAGCTAAATTAATAGTAACATGATCATCATCAAAAGGAAATTAATCAAAAACTTAAAAGAGAAAGCAATTTACACCAAATCCACACACACACACACACACTTAAAGCTCCATATGTACGGCTGGTGCTGCTGGCCTGACTTGCATGTACACATGATCCAATCATCTCCATCTGATCCATTCCCATCATCAGCAGCTCCATCTGCTCTACATTAAGAGCTCATTAACCCATCCAAGGTCAGGATCAGAAGTACAAGCCAAACCACCATCACCAATATTATTATGATCATTAATCTTGTCATCAACGAACAGGCCATTATTGCTTGAACAATCTCCATTGAAAAAATTTGATGAGGGGGTTGGAGTTGAAGGTGAAAGAATGAATTGTGGCTGATCTTCTCCACTGAAAGAGACATCAATATTCCATGGAGTGGTGCTGTTGACATTCCTGTTGTGATTAGTAGATGAGGACATAGGTGAAGAAACACTCGCCCCTTCGTTGAAATTCATGGCTTCTAAAGAACTCATTACCTCAGTGAGCACATCTTTGTAACTCACAACTCCAGCCCTAAACTTGCTCAGCGTTTCATTATATCGGGAGATTGGCGAAAACCCGGATAAGGATTGGTGTTTCACCGGTGATAGAGGTGGTGATAATGATGGCGACAATGGCGGTGACATGTGGGACATACCAAGGAGAGTAGAGGTCGGAGAGGAAGTCATAGAATGGCAAACAACGCAACAATGACTATGATTGAGAGATGAACATGGTGAAGCCAAGCTCTTATTGCGTGAAGAAACCTCAGGCAAAATGCGAAGTTGGCGAGGGGAGTGAGCGAAGAAACAAACCTTTCGCTTACAATTCTTGCCATCTTTGCAAGCCTCGGTTCGATAACGAGAAGGGTGAAGCCAACACTCAAAAACACCATGAGAAAACTCACAATTCTCTCCACGGCTACAACCTCCACGCTTAAACTCAGGGCAAACAGTTCCAGAGTAGTGAAACCTACGAGGGTCTCTCCTACGAGCCTTTTCGCCAGGATGAGCAAACGGGCAGTCGGTCCAGTCATGGCTACGGCTGCGCGTACAGCGACGAACTTTGAACTCATACATGCGGAAATGGTCAGAAGAGTACGGATCTAGCTCACCATCAACAACCTTCTCATTGCTGTAGTCATTATAAGGAAGGAATCTTTGAAGATTAGTCTCATATGGAGACATGTCTAGGCTTTCTTGATGGGTTTTCTTTGTAAGGAGTTTTCTTGGTAGAATCTCAAGATCTCTTAAGGGTCTCTTGGGAGAAAGAAGTTGGTGAGGAGTGTAGGGCTTGTGTTGCTCGGCACAAATGGTGCTCATCTCGTGGCTAATTAAGTACAAGCTAAAGGGTATAATAGTTAGTGATCTAATATCGAATTAAGAGGGTAATGAAATTAAGAGAGGATCGAAGGGGAACAAGGAGAAGATGTTGAGGGAGAAGGAACAAATGGTGGGGCTGGATATATAGGTGGTTAGGGAAGGGAGAAAGGGAGAGAAATATTGAAGTATATTGGAGGTAAGGTATGGCAAAAGAAATGCGTGGCTTCATAGTATTAGGGTTCATCATGCAAAAAGAGTAGGTGGCATCTTCTCACAATTCATAGCCCCCAATGCTTTGCTATGTGTATTCACTAGGGTTTGTTTGTTACCAAGAAATTAAATATATAATCCATTGTCACTATACCATAGTTATAAAAAATATTAACATAAAATATTAATGTAATATTTTTTCAAGATAAAAATAAAAATAGAATTGAAAACCAGATACCAAACAAGCTTTTGATTTCACCAGAAGGCCACAGATAATAATTATTTACTTGAAGGCTCATTGCTCACACAAGAGGTGGACTGTAAGCTTGTCACAACTGTCCCAAGCACATATTTTTTATGATTAAACTTTTCCTGGGACCATATAATAGAGACATAAATATATTGATTTGGGTTAATCCTCCAAGATTTTATTCACAAAGATATTCTATATTGGTTATGGTTTATAATTCAACTCCATCGAGTTGTAAAATCTAATTAGTTAAATGTTCAACGTAAGATATATAAAAATTACTATATTAATAAGAAGGTAATTATAATTAATTTGTAATTATTTTTCATATTATTACATTAATTATATTTGTATGCTTCTCAACTTGTTTAATTAGCAATCAATCCGCTCAAAAATTCAAAAATTGACATGATACAAAGTTAGAGTAACAAGTTGGATGGATTCAGCCTGAACTATTTTAATTTTTATAAAATTAAAATGATATCATTTGACTTATAAAAATAATTTATTTTATTTTTTTAAATGAATAAGTTTTTATGTGGTTTTAACAACAAACCATCCTTGTTTATTTTAACACTTAATCCTAATTTTATATCAATTACCGGATCAAATTGGGTTTAATAACCAAAAATTATGTAGCTTGTTGAATTAAAGTTCAAGTTCTTTACCCTTTTTTTTTTTTATTTACGTGTGGTGTCTGGGCCAGCTTGCGCGCATCACAACTAATCCCCATGGTCCACTGAATACTCTGCAAACCCAGTAGGCATGTAAGGCACCGTGGGGGTGACAAACATACACACCAAGGTTCGAACCCATGTACAATGGAAAGAGATAAGCCTCTTTCACCACTAGACCAAGCCCCTAGATGCACTTTAAAATATGTATGGTTGCCTGCGACAGAGAAATTTCTTTTATTGGTGGCAAAATTGTGCAGTTATGTTCTCTGCCAAATTTGTCCACTGGTTTCTTTCAAGAGGAGCCATGAAACTTCCTTTTGCTTCTTTGGTCACCACGGGCCTAAGCCCATTAGATTAGTGCCAGGCCCATCCCTTCCTAGGAAAACATGCCCTCAACCTCAACCTCCTCCTTGTGTCCTTTTCTCTATCAATGACATGTAGTTAATGCAATTTTTAAAGAAGAAAAAAATAAAAATAAATGCGAGGAATCAATTTTAACCTAATTTTT